AGATATCTACAAATATTGAGTCTCCTGGTATCTCTTCCTCCATCTATAAAGAATAACCTGGGCATCGTGCCCAAGGACATGATTCTGACTCAGTTCTGCAACTCTAAGTTTCTATTTATGCTTCTAGTTTCCAATATCTAGAATCTGATTTCCCCTCTATGCTTGAATTACATGATTTTAATGTTATACTTAATTTTGATGAATAATTAATGAGAGGTGTACACCTCTTTTTTCAAATAAAGTCCTTTCCCATTTTCCAAAGCCCCAAGGAGTCTCCTTAAATCAAGATATTTTAATAATTAATTTGGAAATTTTAAAAGTGTTTTGTGTCTCTCTCTCTTGCAGTCTTCCGTGAAGGCTAACTTGCTTCAGTCTCATTGGAGTCATAGCGTCATCTCCAGAACTTTGGGAGTTCCTAAGCTTCTGCCTGATTTCCCCTTTCCATTCTGCAGTCCTGAAACTCTCTCAAAGGAAAAATTAGGGCAATTATAGGGGTCTCTTTCATTGATTTCCTGACTCTCAGGGTTACTGTTATCCTTCACTGTCTGACTTTCACATTACAGAGAAAACTCTGCTAAAAAGAAGGATGAAATTGAAGCTTTTGTTGGTAAATGAATGCACTTTGAGACCACAATAGTAAGTGAAATAAATCATACATTTAAGCTTAAATGTCAGATGGCTTCTCTCATTGAGAAATCTAAAAAATAAATAAAGAGCCTAATAAAAGATAGATAATAAGAAGTAGCGAGATCTTTATTTAAAATGGGAAAAGAAACAAGAGATGGAGGCAGGGAACAAAATAAAAGATAGATAATAAGAAATTGGGAGATATGTTTCAAATGGGAAAAGGAACAAGAGGGAAAAGAAAAAAAAAATAATTGAAGAAAACTGGAGCTAGAGATTTTGCAAATGGGAAAAGGACTAAGGGTTAGAAGAAATGGAAAAATGGGAGGAAGAAGGCCCCTTGCTGCCCCTTCCATCTCTACTCCTTGAGGGTAACTTCTGTCAAGACTGCAAAATTTTTTGGGAATTTCCTGTACACAGCACTTCACAATTCCCCTTTTTAAAATCTTCTTTTCTGCCCCTCCCTCACTCTGACTTTCAGTTCCAATCCCATAGGTCAAAGATCTATCTTGCTATTTCCTACTGTTTATTCTTTATTTTGCACTTTGTTTATATTTTGGGGTTCTTATATAAAGAAACCATGCAATATTTAAGTTTGTGTGCCTGATTTACTTCACTTAACATTATGGTCTCAAGGTGCATCCATTTTCCTAAAAAGGAATCAAGTTTATCTTTCTTTATGGCAAACTAGTGTTCCATTGTGTATAAATACCGCATTGTCTTTATCTACTTAGCTTTTGATGGACTATATCTGTTTGCTTGCCTGTTTGCTTGCTTTTTTGTTTAAAAAAAAACAAACAGAAATTCCCAAACAATTTTGCAAACCAAGTGAATCATTTTACATTTTCACTGCAACACATGAAAAATATAATTTCTCTCTGTCTTCACCAGAATTTATTATTCTCCCTTTTTTTATTTAGCTTTTTCTATAAGCATATAATAATATCTCATCATGAATTTCCCTAAATAGAAAAGTGTGTAGATATGTAGTTAGTCCTTTTATTCACAGGTGTGATACAACTTTGATACTTCTTTTTTAATTTGTTGTCTAATTGATCTATTTGTGATAGTGGAAACGAGTAATACAAAACAATATTCATATATTCATACTTTCTGCTGCTTGTATATATCTTTTCCTTTGAGCTTTGAAAATTCTTGACACAACACCCAAAAAAATTGTTCCTCAGATATTTAGTTTGAAATGTCTTTAAGAGTTAGAAGGCTATTCAAATTAGTTTATATTGGGTAAGTTGAGGTCATTTATGTTTTCTCAGTAACCTAAATTATCATATTTACATGTGTACATTTGCTTATAGATTTCCCCTTTTTATGCCTGCAGGCTATGTCATGGTATTTCTGGATCTATTTCTGATATACATCTTTTTTTCTCATCCTAAATATAGCTTTGAGCAAATTTAATTGACTGTTTCAAAGAACTAATTTTTTTCATTGATTTTTTCACTCTTTTCCCATTTGCATGCTCATTGATTTCTGCTCTTTTTATATGTTGCTTATTCCTGATTTACTTTCCTTCTGTGTTTCTCTGTTCTTGAGGTGGGAGTTCAAGGTATAGATTTGGTGCCTTTTTGATTTCTAATCTATGCACTTTACCCCACACATATGCCTCTCTTCACTCGTTTAGCTTTGGCCCACAGATTTCAATATATTGAAATTTTATTTACTTTGATTTTTTTTTCATTCGATATTTTTTCTGGGACCCACAGATTACTTAGAACTCTACAGCATAGTTTTTAGACATTTTAATTAACTGTTTCAAAGAACCAATTTTTTTTCATTGATTTTTTTCATTTTCATGTTTATTGATTTCTGCTCTTTTTATATGTTGCTTATTCTGGATTTAATCAAGTAATTTATTTGGAAATTTTTAGATTTCTAATCTATGCACTTTATGCTATATATATTCCTCTCTGCACTCCTTTAGCTTTGGCCCACAAAGTTTGATGTATGACCTTTTTATTTAATTTGATGTTTATTTCATGTGACATTTTATCTATGACCCATAGATTTTTTTATAAATATTTTGTTTAGCTTCTAAATATTTGGAAATTTTCTTTTTATCTTTTCCTTCTAGTTTCAGTGACTCATAGTTAGAGAATATCTTTTTCATGATTTAAACTATTTTAAATTCCTTGAGATTTGTTTTATGATTTTGAATAACATCTTTTTAAATAAATGTTCTGTAGGTGTTTGAAAAATATATATTCTTCTATAGTTGGATGTAGTAGTCTACAAATCTCAATTAGATCATGGTTGATGGTATTGTTGAATTTTTCTATGTACTAAAGACATTTTGTCTAGTTTTTTCCATTGTTGAGAAAAGGATGTTTAAATCTGTAACTATTGTTGAAGAGTTTTCTCATTTTTTCAGTCATATTGGGTTTTATTTCACACAGAGTACAGCTCTTTTGTTTAGTACACATATAGTGAAGATTGTTTTGTATTTCTGATGGACTGTCCTTTTGTCAGTATGCTTTGTCGTACTCTGCCCTTGGTAATTTTCTTTTCTCTAAATGTATATGATATTAATACAATTACCCAGCCTTTTATTATTTAGTTATATATTTATTTTAATTCATAAAGGACATTATAGATGTCATTGAAAAATTCTTAACTTTATGTCTCAGTACTCTATCACTATGAACATTATTTTTTTCATAGCATTTAATATATTATAAATTAAAGAAGCCTATGAAAAGGATCTTTTAAAAATACAAAGCAACCATTTTGAATATCTATTTTCTTAAAAACTTCCTGAGTACTTTATTTATATTTAGATGTGTATTCTAAATAGTCCTATACAATTTATAGTTGCATCTGTTTCTTTATGAAATTTATTTTACATTTCCTAATGCTAAATAATAAGCAGATAAATAATAAATGAGCTTTACTATAAATTTCTTAAGAATAGTGTATTTTTCAGATAAATTTTCATCATTTCCTACTCCAAAGTATTCAATAGTTTTTATTTTCAAAACATCACTTTTTCCATTTGTCTGTACTTAGGGATAAATGTCTGTTAGCAGTAGAGAGCCTCTGTTTATTAATCTATTTTAAAATCTACAGGATTATGTCATGATAAGGATTTCAAATTGCTAAAGTATGAAGCTCAGTTAACTGTGTTGGTAATATATTAAAATATTGACTAAATTCAAATATAGATCTATCTGATTTCATACTCAACTTTGTATAAATTCATATTATCTGTAATTTCTTAGGTTCTTGATGAAATTACTTAATTATCTGCCAAATACTGCAATACCTATCTGAGTTTTCTGATGATAGTGGTGGTATATCCATACAAGTGGTTTGGAGCCTGTTGTTAAGTTTAATTTTTTTTTGAATTTGATTAATTCTTATTCTTGTGGCTTCTTTGAAGAGTTTCTGAAGTCTCAAGGAAAACTTTGCATACAATTATATAGGGAAAGAAAACAGCTTTAAAATATTTTCCCTACTCAATATCATATGTATCAGGAAAGATACAAAAAAAGTTTATAGCCTTTGTTCAACATATTTGCTTAATCTATATTTTATTTATTTTATTTTAGACATGTTGTAAGTTTTAGAAATGTAAGTGTGATGGCAACAAAATACCAATCTATGAAATTACCAAATAATCTTGGCTTCCACCTCAGTTCATCATATAGAATAGCTGCAAAAATTGCTTTTACCATCCACTGACTGAAAAAATTTAAAAAATTAAAATACTTAACAGTTCATTTGCATTACAAGTTTATATTTTATTTGTATCATTTCCTCTAAATTGGAATATCAGTTTAATTTTCTCATCTTTGATTATAAAGTATCATCACGCAGTTAACAAACTGGCAAATTTGTCTTTATATGGTTCTAAGGACACAACTGGTGACAGTACTATAAATTTTTCCCAACAATTAAGAAAGGTGAAAATGCCATAAAGACATTTCCATATATTTTTGTGTCCTCCACAAGGTAGTGACAAGAAATCAAGCTGTTGCTATATTAGGATAAATCAACAAGTTTAGAATTCTAGCATCTGTATCCTTATCATTGAAAAAAGAAACATTAATGAATAAATAATTATTCAGTTGTGTATTCATATCTATTGCCCTTTTTCATTCTTATAACAGCACTGAGAAGCTTTCTAGTCATGAAGCACATGAGAGAATTTACATAAAATGCAAGAGTACAAGCTAGTAGAAAAAAAAATGGATTCAATTTAGTGAAAAAAAAGAATTCAGAACAATTCAGTAATGTTGCACAATTTTCTTATAAAGTCAGAAACAGAGCTATTATGATTTACAGAAGAAAATTAAGCAATTAGGCTACTACCTCTTATTTATCAAGAAGTAATTGTTGTAACCTCCTATTTTCTGCTCTCAAAAACTTCCCTGCCTTGTGTCTCCTGCTTTTTCCCCAAGTCCACTTCTGTCCCAAAGCTTCCTCATGGCTGACTTGACCTCTTTGTTCCGAAGTGTGTAGATGAGGGGGTTTAACATGGGGGTAATGACATTGTAGAGTACAGATACTATCTTGTCCACAGAAAATGTGGAGAAAGGGCGAGCATAGATGAAAATGCAGGGTCCAAAAAAGAGTGTTACCACCATGAGGTGAGAAACACAAGTGGAGAGTGCCTTTCGTCTTCCCTCCTTGGAGCGAATCTTAACTAAAATAGTAGTGTAGGAAGAGATCAGCACCACAAAGGAGCTGGTAGATATCAGCCCACTGTTAGACACCATTAGCAATTCAATGACAAAGGTTTCCGCACAGGCAAGTTTGATGACAGGGTGAATATCACAAAAGAAGTTGTCCACCTGGTTTGGCCCACAAAAGGGTAGATGGACAGTAAGAATGGTCTGGACAATGGAGTGCACAAATCCTCCCATCCATGAAGCAGCTACCAACAGAGAGCACAGTCCTCGACTCATGATAGTGGTGTAGTACAGTGGACGACAGATTGCAACATAGCGATCATAAGCCATCACCGTGAGGAGGAACATTTCAGCAGCCCCTACAAAATGCAGAAAGAAAAGCTGCATGATGCACTGCTTGTAGGGAATGAGCTTTTCCTCATGAAAGAAGTCAACCAGAAGCTTAGGGGTAGTTACAGTTGAGTAGCACAGGTCCAGGAATGAGAGGTTACCAAGAAGGAAATACATAGGTGATGTATTTAGGTACCTATTAGAAGCCACTGTCACCATGATGAGGACATTGCCCACCCAAGTGGACACATAGAAGAAAAGAAATAATACAAATAGCCCTGCTTCAATAGATGATGTGTGTGAGAAACCTGCCAGGACAAATTCTTTCACCACTTCTGTCTGGTTTTCATCCATTTGACTTTGTTCTACGGAAGGCATTAAATAATGGAGCATTATTAACATTGTAAATAGACAGGATGTCACATCAAATATGGCAATATACTCATTTTAAGATGTGTTTTCTCAAAGGTACACCTGTATTGATAACTGGATGAAATTATTTTCTCCATAGCTGTTAAAAATATGTATACTTCAAACAGCTCCAACTTTGGGGCATAATGAAGTAGCCAAAATTTGTAGAGCATAAAATCACCTTTACATTCAGTGTTGGCTTTTCTCCATTTCATCCATCAGTACCTTACTAACCACTCTCTTTCAACACTCAGTCTCCAGAAACAGGTCCCATTTCCCGGAGGCATTACATTTCTAAAATAAAAAACTTCAGGAACAATAACAACAACAACAGCACATTGAAGATAATATTTATTATTCCAGTAATTAGGCATTGAGAACTGTAGAAGATTTTTTTTGAAACAGTACTTCTCTATGTAGCCAAGACTGGCCTCAAACTCACAGAGATATTCCTGGCTTAGCCTCCCAAGTGCTGGGATGACAGGCCTGAGCCAACATCCCCAGCAACATCTGTAGAAGATGTAATCGGAAAGAAAATGCATTTGTTCTTTTCCATCAAGGTAACACTTGTAGGAATCTAAACTGTGCAAAAGAAGGAAATGTATCACATTTCACTTTCTGTTTATTTTTAGTCATTGATCTCTATATATGCTTCCAGAATGCCTGTCAAGCCTAGTATTGGCCATAATACATTATTGTCTGATATATTATTATCTATATTTCCAATTGTGTCATTTCTGTGGGTACAGGAACACACATGGTTATAATGATGTAAGTAGAATTGTAAAATAATTATGCAGTCATTCAAATGATTCTCTCCTTTCACTATATTATCAAATTGAATAAAAAGAAAGTATTTCTCTGAGATTAATAACATTGTATTTTGGTGTGAGTCCCCACATGTATTTTATTCACTTGTGTGAAGAATGCATGGAAGATGCTACTGCATGAGATGAAAATCTTGGGGATTCATGATAGCGGCTATTGACTCCACTCATTTCTGCTATATATAGAGCAATAGTTGAAGAACTAAAATGAAATTATTTAAAGAATAGATATTAGAGACCCTCTTCTATGTTATACTTTATGCTTCCTCTAAATTTATGAACAGAATACTTTCCATTTAAACAAGTCAACAAGAATAAACAATTTTTTAAAAAAATTAATCTTAAACAGTAAAAGTTGATTTACATAAATTAAAATCCTATGTGCTGCTAAATGAAAGCAAGTATGCAAATATAGTTAAACAATTTTATATTAATCAAAAATATTTTAAAAACTTACGAAGTAAAACACAATGTCTAAATATCATTTTATAAAAGGATATTTATGAAAAGATTTAACCTAAAAAATAGTTACAAAATAAATCAAAAGAGCATAAAATACTATATTTAAAATATATTAAAATCTATAGATACAGAAAACTGAACCATATAAGAAACTAGATTAAATACAAAGACAACACAATACTTATAGAAGTTGAAATTGACCACTAGGATTTGCCTCTTAACTATTGAAAGTTTCTAGTTTTCTGCAGTGAACTCAGTTATATTTATGTGAATAAACTTTCTGTAAATTTTTGTGGCTATGCACATCTACCTTTTATTTTTACATGAAAACTTCATATATTCGGATTTTCTTCATTTTGTAAGTGAATTATTATTTATTTCCCATTTATTTAAATTCAGGTGAAAATTCTGCCTAAAACCATGTCAATAGTTTTAATAATAACTATAATAATTAGGATTTAACCTCAAATTATGTGTTATATTTTCCCTTGGTTTTACTGGTTAGATTCCTAGAAGAATTACATTGATAAAAAATACAACAGCAACCAAAAAACCCCACAGATTTCCCTTTCCTCAGTAAGTCCTCTATATACCATATTTCCATTCACAGCAATCTTAATCTCAAGCTTAATTAAAAAAATAAGATTTTTGTGTTGGTTTATTTTGTGAAAAAATTTCACTATTCGGGTTTTTTATGTTTAAAATGTTTTGGACATTTCCTGCTAAAATTTATAAACATAAAAAAACATGAAAACATATTCTTCTCCATTCCAAGAAGCAGAAGCAGTTTACTATGTCAAGTCTATGCTGTTAAAACTTTTTAAAACACAGTTTGACTTTCTTAAGTGTTATAATTTTGCTTATACAATATGATACACTACTGAAAAGACCGAAATTAGCAATAAAAGTTGATCTTGAAGCAAGTACTAATGACTCGAGCATGAAGAAAAGTTTTCATAGAGTAAACTTAAAGTCATATTACTTATCTTATGTCCATAGAAGACAAATGCTTAAGACCTGGCATACCAACAGTATAGACCCATCCTAGATGTTATAGAAGCACAAAGATAAATAAATCAAGATATAAACCCCTGATTACACTGTTCCCCATTAGGAAATTTTGATGTTTGGGGATTTAGAGATTCAGGTACATACAGTAAAATCACAATGGGGGTCATTAAAAATTAATTACAACTTTGTGCCAGAAACTGTGGAACACAAAAACTATATTTATGGGGGAAAAATAATAGGATATGAGGTAAAAATAAATGCATAGAGAAAAATATATATGATAGTTTTAAGAGTGTCATGTGAATTTAAGTGAGAGGTGTGGCCCCCAAGATTGAGTCTGATGATGATAAAAAGATATCAAGGAAAATTTGGTCACAGGTTCTTTGTGTTTCTCCTGCCATCACATCTTGGTTTGTGCCAATTTATGCATCTAGAGTCATTTTTTCAATAAGAAGTTTTACTTTACATTTCATTTTATTATTTTCAAGTATTACAAAAATGTAAAGCAAGTGTCACTTTTCCTCCACTGATACCTACACACCACTAGGGGGAGAACAGAGAGGTTTGCCTAACAATATACTGTGCATGTGCTTACATGCTGTATGCATCTCTAGTTCTTTTTTGACTGATACATAATTATTTTTTTAAAAAATATTGATTATTTTACCATTCATTCACTATTTCACTATAATGAAATAAAAACCGTATGAATGGCCTGGGCCAGAGGAAAGGGTTTTTGGATCGCCTTCTATCCTGCATTCGTGGCCAAGAAGAAAGGGCTTTTGGGCCGCCGTCTGTCCCACTGCTCCCTGCCCAGAAGAAGAGGCATCTGGGCCACCATCACTACCACCACTCCCAGCCCCTGTCCCACCTCTCCCAGCTCAGAGGAGGTGAGTCACACAGGCACCAACAGCACCAACACTGGCCCCCCAGTCAAAATGAGAAAACACGTAAATAAGTCTCAAAACCAGACTTCCAGATCACCTACCGCAACCCCAAAGGAAAGTGAGATGGAAAACTCTGATGTTCAATGAACTGGACCCACTGAATTGGCAACAAAAGGGGATTGGGAAAAAATGAAATCAGAAATACTTTCTCAGATAACAGGAGAGATTGTGCTCCTACTGCAAGACATGATTAATAAATGTAGAGAGGAGCTGAGGAATATGAAGAATCCTAACATAGGAAACAAATGGAATCCAAAAAACAGATGCAAAGAGATTTCCAGGAGATGAAAAACTCCATTGAAAGTCTGCACAGCAGAATGAGCCAATGTGAGGACAAAATTTCAGATATAGAAGATAAGATTGCAATTAGTGACCAGGAAAAGAAAAATTGCTTCAAAATGATAAGGGAACATGAGAAAACAATCCAGCACCTGCCAGATGATGCAGAGAAGAATAACATAAGACTGATTGGAGTCAATTAAGAAACAGGAGAGAGTGGAGATGACATAAAAAATCTCTAAATAATGGCAGAAAACTTCCCAAACAGGGGAAGAGAGCTTGACATACAGATAAGTGAGGCATATAGGACTCCAAATAGTCTTGATCAAAAAAAATTTACACATAGACATATAATTGTTAAGATTCTAGAAACTCAACAGAAGAACAAAGTTCTACAAGCAGT